ACTAAAAAAAAAAATACTCAAATGACATGAATGTGTCAATTTGACATTCTTATACAACTTTGTTTTGTAAAATTTTTTTTCTACATGCCAAAAAACATGCGGGCAATTTGTGGATGTAAGTCAACAGCACAGTAATGTATTTTTTTCTTCTAATTCTTACATTTTATTTATTGTTTTGTCCAGTGATATTTTTTGGTTCTCATTTTAAGCAGTTTCATTTGGGATTTTTATTTTCATTAATTTTGGTTGCTTATTTTACAAATTCACAGTTTCAGAGGTTTTTTTTTCTTTGCGGTATATGTATTTTCAACATATTATTTCTTTATATTTGCAGTGCTTATGTTTGAGATTTTGTTTTATTATTTGGGTGGTTTTCTTGTTGTTTACCATTATTTTAATTACATGGTGTGAGCTGAAGCTGATATTTTGATTTACATAATATGATTTAAATGAATACCAGAGACTAAATGGAAAGCCAAGTAGTCAATTAGAAATCCTCACTAATTTAAACTTTGATTTCTGTAATTTCCCTTTTATTATATTTTGTCTTTCAGCAAATTATGGAGGCTATAACTAGCTACATTTATTTATAAAATATTTTACCAAAATACATGCATGTATTTATATCAGTTTAAAGTGTACCTGTGATGATGCATGACTTGTTGTCATATTATGTATACATTTTTTTTATTTTTTTTTTAATATATCACTGGGACCAGGGAAACGGGCCACAATCTACTTCACTATCCAAGAATAAGCAATTCTTAGTAGGATCTTACTTTGGGAGAGGCATAGTCAATGTAATCTTCACACTACATCCACCTCATCGAATTCATTGGATGTATCAAAGATGGAGTGTAACACAAGGGGGGGGAGATGTCTAGCTAGGATCACACAAAAAAAACAAAACAAGCAAAAAAACAAGCAAGCAAACCAAAACAATACAGAGGTTTTTTTTTAGACCCAAGTGCACATGCTTTCAATGTATATATCTGGGTTCAACACAAACCCCATGTAAGCACGAATCCATGCTAAGTAGTAGATTGTTTAGGCTATTGACTGTCATGTTAAATTACATTTTCTAATTGTAATCCATTTACACATTTTTCTAGTTATTAGCATAGTTTAAAAAATGACTTTAATTCCCAATCTGCTTTAGTAATAAGTCCATGGACTACATCCAGTTTAACATAGTCCTTGGATATAAAAGCTACATTATTTTAAACTATTGTTACATTTATCTTAATATATTTGGAAACACTCATAGGAAAATTCACAAAGATTTTTTTTCCCCTCACACTGAGATTGCAGACACACAGAGAACATTAATCTCAATTTAGAAAAAAAAAAAAGATGTTACACTTTAAAAAGCATCAGGTAATTTCTTCTATCTGGCTACTTTGGCTTTCCTTATAGTCACAAAATCGATTTGACGCTGGAAGCCACACACTGGTGCACGCCCTATATATGCATGAGTAAAACAGTTGTTGTGGTTTTCTACTAATGTGTTGTTTTTTCCCCTCCCATTTTATGTTTTTGCTTTTCTTTCTTAGGAGGTGAATTAGTAATCCCTGTCCTGGTAGAGGATCCTTTAGATATCCCTTCAATAGTTACACGTATTCCCTCCATTACTCTCCCTCCCACCCTTCGACCACTCCTCACCATAATTGAGACCACCAAAGATTCCCTGTCTGTGACCCCTGATGCTGGGTTACCGTGCTTGTCGGACCAAGGCAGCGATGGTTGTGATGATGATGATGGCTTGGTGATATCTGGGTATGGCTCAGGGGAAACATTTGACGCTAACCTGCCCCCTACCGATGACGAAGATTTTTACACCACCCTCTCCTTGGTAACAGATAAGAGCTTTTCCACATCATTCATCGATGGTGGCTACAAATCACAGGCGCCCAAATGGGGATCAAAGGACTTTAGACCTAACAAAGTCTCCGAACCTGGTAGGACTTCTACCACAAGTTTGCCCCCTGAGCTGATACGCTCTACGTCTTCATCTGGGATGGTGCCCATGGTGCCAGCTGGCAAAATGAATAACCATGAGCTTAAACCCCAGCCTGATATAGTCTTGCTACCTTTGCCCACTGCCTATGAGCTAGACAGCACCAAGCTCAGGAGTCCACTAATAACACCCCCCATGTTCCGTAATGTGCCCACAGCAAACCCCACGATGCCGGGAAGCAGACGAGTCCCGGGGGCTTCTGAGGTGGTCCGGGAGTCCAGCAGCACCACGGGGATGGTCGTCGGCATTGTGGCAGCCGCTGCCCTCTGCATCCTGATCCTCCTGTATGCCATGTACAAGTACAGAAACAGGGATGAGGGGTCCTACCAGGTGGATGAGACGCGGAATTACATCAGCAACTCTGCTCAGAGCAATGGGGCCCTAGTGAAGGAGAAGCAGCACGGCTCTAAAGGCGGCCACAAGAAGCAGAAAAATAAGGACAAAGAGTACTATGTGTAAATTAAAATTAATATATGTAATCAAAGCAAATATGTGAACAAAACAGCAAAGGCATAACAAACGTTGCTATTGATGTATAGAAATCTAAATATCTGCAGACAGTAGCAGTAATGTTCTGAAAGTGAAAATTGGAGCATCAGCTGCTCTTGTGCCAGAGGCATGAGAGAGAGAGAGAGCTGTCACGGTTTCACCCAGGCTGCAAACAGCTAACTTTCTTACTCAACTGTAATATAAAAGCACACTTATTCTATTGCCACGGATGGCAATAAAATGAAATATATAGATATATATCTCTACAGAAGAGAAAGCTTAGTGAGCTCCGGCTGACCAGTTCTAGGGCTCTCTCCTCCAGCTGCATGGGTCCAATTATAGAAGAGACCCTGGACTCCATTGCAACACCACTCCGAGAGAGCCTTAAAATACTAACTGACTGAACCGAATCTTATTTCAACTAATATGGTTTATTTTTTGTTTTTCATTTTTATGTTTCTGGTTTTGGAAGATATTTCTGTTCTTATGGGTTTATTTTCATGCGTTTTGAACGATCAAATAACTTTGTTTATAAAGGAAAACATCACATGGCAAAATGTAGCCATGCCCAGCCAAGGAACTGTAGATTCCATGTACAATACCAGAGCGAATGATTTGGAGTGCGTGAGAGTATGTCTGTGCCCTGCGTGATTATAGCTGGAGATTGTTGCCATACAAATAAATCATAATGTGTTCTCTTTGCATAGCAGGTTGTGGTGTCTATAGAACATATTCTTTGCAGTATGTTTTAATAAAACACAAAAACTATCTTGGAAAGAGAATTGGCAAGGACTAGGTCTGTTGTGAGATCTGGCCAATGTCTGTATATACTCAGAACTCTGTCACATGGTCACGAGCTCCAGTGCTAAGGAGAATGGAAGCAGCTTGCCTACTGTCAAGTTACAGCCAAACAGCAGCAATTGAAAATGATCAAGAATGAAACATCTAAAAAGATATACAAGTGAAAAAACTAAACAAAAACACATCCCTAAAAGGGGAGGAATATCAGAGACTTTTACTTTGCGTTCTGGTTTTGTGACTTCCTGCGATGCATGCAAAAAAGAAAACTAAAATATAAAAAAAAAAAAAAAACAAACCCAACAACAACTAAAACAAAGAACTGGTGGAAAATTTAAAAGAAGAATCTGTTTGATGGGGCAACACTTGTGACAACTTTAAAAATAGGTCACAAAAGCCAAGATGTGTCATGAAGCGGAATCCACGTGTTTTTCTTTTCATACAGTGTGGAATGTTCTTTGAATTAGCACCCCGCCCATTCTGCCTTTATTTTAGGACTACAATTAAAATGGAGATACTTTGTCACAGATGAATTTATCAGAGAAAATAAAATGAATTTTATTACTATTAGAAGTCTATATATACATATATAAATATGCAGAGCTATTTATTGAAATGACTGGTATAGTATATGTTGGGACCTGGAGAGCTTTGCATTTAAAGGGACAGTAATGCTTCAAAGTAAGCTAGCATTTATAAAAGCATGCATTTAAAGAAAATCAGGTATATATCTCAAAGTCACAGTACATAATTATTTTTGTTATTTAATTGCTTCAGAAACTCTACATTTAAAGAAATCCTACATGACATTCATTTATTATTTTGTGGTCAGTCAACAGGCTAGGAATTGTAGCATTTTTTTTCAATGCAGCTTAAAAAATGTAGAGCAGCAATTCAGAAGATGTTTCATTTAGAATTGGTCATTTTTTACTGTAGCACTGGTTACCTAATTTTTCTATTAGGCAAGGCTTTTAAAGCAGTAAAATATGTCAGCCTCATTACTTATACACACATTTGATCTTATCTCTGTAAACAATCTCATATAAATGTGACTCCTATTGAGGTATTACTGACCTTTTAAATGGCAGGATCACTGTAATTAACCCCTTTACTGGCAGTTGTAGCAGTACTTGAGGTGCATTCATTTTATGTTATTTCAATTTTGAAATGAGAGGCACTCTTCCCATCATAATCTATACAGCTCATTGGAGTGGTTATGGTCCTAGAAGTCTACAGCACATGCTCAGGCAAAAAACATGGCTCCCCCCAGCATGCATAGCCTGCCCTCTATGCAGGAGAATGTGGAATGTGTCATTCACACACCTACATTATTAAGTGTGAATCCATCCAGCTTTGTAAACCATTATAGGCATAACGCGCTTCCTACTTACTACTGGCTTCCAAGGTTGAATGGATTCATACTTGTCCAAGTAGTATGACAATTGACATATTATCAGTGTGACTATAGAGAAGGATACGCTGTGGGTCCTGAGGAGTGCCTCAGTTTTCATTAATGGCTCCAAAACATTTTAACAGAAAACAGGGGCTAATGCCTGTTTATACATGTATACATGTATATACATAGTATCATAACCACTATATTGGCATGTGGTTATGGAGAATAGAGTGCCACTCAAAATAAAAAAAAATAATAATAATAAAAAAAAATATATATATATTTATCAAAATGCACAAGGTGTAATATGATGTTCTAACTTTTCTGGGAATAACCAATGATGATCAGAATTATTACATCTGGTGTACTTATAGGGAGTATCATTAAAAGTTTTCAATCTCTTTCAGATATACATAAGCACTTTTTTTTTTACTAGAATCAAAGTCTAAAGTGTGTCACTTGTGTGGTATGTTCACCCACTGGGAGAGGGGGAAACTAGAGACTACAAGATATCTGTTGTACAATCTGCAAGACAATGCCAGTTCCCATCAGCCGCCATATGCAATAGCTGATGGAATATGGCAAGATGCCTGAAGGTACATTTTGCCAAAATATGATGTATACATAAGACAATATAGTCCTGACTTTTTAAGCCTACACTACACAATCTCATTTATACTTCTAATTGCTGTGGGGAGTCTTAACTGATCCAGAGAATGGTTACACAAATCCGCTCAAATTAACAAATCAGATACATAGAGTCATTGCCCCATAGAAGTGATATCAAATGTAAGCACCTATACCACTAATAGCATAGCCCAAACCAATTGTATATTTCCTTGCAAAGTGAGTGCATCCTGTGCAATAAAGAATAAAGTTTATTTTATTAAAACCTGTGCCTTTTATACCAGACTAAAAATGAATGCACCATTAACCCTACATTACAGTGCCCTAAAGGTAGCCCTCCTGACCAAAGGGGTTAGTGATAAGCCATGGTAATAACCATTTCACTTCTAGGAATCTATTTGTAATGAAACAAGACTGCTGAGAGATTTCTGAAATTTGTAATCACAAGGTCACCAGAAGAGTTAAGTAACTATTGATTTATATAAAGGACACGACTTGAGGAAGCTGCAGAATACAGTGTGTGACATTATAAAATAGTGCCTCTGCCTCTGATATACTGAGTCACTGTTTTCCACTAAAATCTCTGCTGTTGTGATATTCATTCATTTTGGTTACATGTCCACAATACTGTGCTCATTACAAGGACGCAGAGTTAGCATCACATGTACGTCCTCTATTACAAAAAAATGTTTAATGAATTGCATTCTGATTGAAATTATACTTGCACACATTAAATCAAGCAATTGTGGTTTTCTTCAGCAGTTTTCCATACCATACATTGCTTCTCAGGCCGAAGGTCTTGATAGTAATGCAACTCTGTCAGTGTGTGCTGATTGTCAGAGGTGAAATGGTTAGTTACAAATGTTAAACATTCATTAGATTCTGTAATATATTTTGCTGTAATACTATTTCCTAGAACATGAGTGTGATGTTTAAGTAAGCAGTATAGCTCTAGAGCCCAATGAATGCAGTTGGGTGAGAACCATCTTGAAGTTTTGCATGTTAACTATTTATTGAACATACACGTAGTAGCTTTACCTGTTCTCAAATGGCAGTAAACTTTTTTCTTTTTCTTTTTTTAAATCCTGACATCAAGAAATATTCTGTAACGTTAAGATAATATACAAAATTTTTAACTCTAGGAGCTTTCAGTTGAACTATTACATTTCTACTCATGAGCAACTCATGAAAAATGCTGCTCTATGTAGAATTTATATGTTGCAGACAGGGAGTTGATTAATAAAATATGAAGAAAATTATGTATCTAGAAACATATGGTATATCAGGGCACCCAAAGAGGGGCCTGAACATGGCACTGTATTTTTAGCTGCCCCTCATCCTGCAACAAATTCTGCGTTTGGGTGTTTAGAAAACTGTGTGACCCAGGCACAGAGATTATAATTCCAGAATGTTTAGTAATTCTATTCTTCTACTGATCCACCATGTTAATGATAAAGCCCTCATCCTTGTTTTATGTCCTCTTGTCATCAATAGCCATCCGTACTAGAAATCCTCACTTTAAAAAAGTTAGAGAGCGATACAGGATCACACGTAGCTTATCTCAGCCGATGTGATCAGTGATGTTTAGCTCAATAAAGATAACTTGATTATCCCACAAATAGAAACCAGCCATAGCACACTGACTTACTCACCATAACCACTATAGCCCACTTACTTACTCACCATAACAACTATGGCACACTGACTTACCATAACCACTATAGCACACTTACTTACTCACCATAACCACTATAGCCCACTGACTTACTCACCATACCAATATAGCACACTGACTTACTCACCATAACCACTATAGCACACTTACTCACCATAACCACTATAGCCCACTGACTTACTCACCATAATCACTATAGCCCACTGACTAACTCACCATAATCACTATAGCACACTTATTTACTCACCATAATCACTATAGCACACTTATTTACTCACCATAACCACTACAGCCCACTTACTCACCATAACCACTATAGCACACTGACTTACCATAACCACTATAACCCACTTACTTACTCACCATGACCACTATAGCCCACTTACTCACCATAACCACTATAGCACACTGACTTACCATAACCACTATAACCCACTTACTCACCATAACCACTATAGCACATTGACTTACTCACCATAACCACTATAGCCCACTTACGTACTCACCATAACACACTTACCTTAACCACTATAGCCCACTTACTTACCATAACCACTATAGCCCACTTACTCACCATAACCACTATAGCCCACTTACTCACCATAACCACTATAGCCCACTTACTTACTCACCATAACCACTATAGCCCACTTACTCACCATAACCACTATAGCACACTGACTCACCATAACCACTATAACCCACTTACTTACTCACCATGACCACTATAGCCCACTTACTTACTCACCATAACCACTATAGCACATTGACTTACTCACCATAACCACTATAGCCCACTTACGTACTCACCATAACACACTTACCTTAACCACTATAGCCCACTTACTTACTCACCATAACCACTATAGCCCACTTACTCACCATAACCACTATAACCCACTTACTTACTCACCATAACCACTATAGCCCACTGACTTACTCACCATAATCACTATAGCCCACTGACTTACTCACCATAACCACTATAGCACACTTACTCACCATAACCACTATAGCACACTGACTTACCATAACCACTATAACCCACTTACTTACTCACCATGACCACTATAGCCCACTTAGTTACTCACCATAACCACTATAGCACATTGACTTACTCACCATAACCACTATAGCCCACTTACGTACTCACCATAACACACTTACCTTAACCACTATAGCCCACTTACTTACTCACCATAACCACTATAGCCCACTTACTCACCATAACCACTATAACCCACTTACTTACTCACCATAACCACTATAGCCCACTGACTTACTCACCATAATCACTATAGCCCACTGACTTACTCACCATAACCACTATAGCACACTGACTTACCATAACCACTACAACCCACTTACTTACTCACCATGACCACTATAGCCCACTTAGTTACTCACCATAACCACTATAGCACATTGACTTACTCACCATAACCACTATAGTCCACTTACGTACTCACCATAACACACTTACCTTAACCACTATAGCACACTTACTCACCATAACCACTATAGCCCACTTACTCACCATAACCACTATAGCACACTGACTTACCATAACCACTATAACCCACTTACTTACTCACCATAACCACTATAGCCCACTTACTCACCATAACCACTATAGCACACTGACTCACCATAACCACTATAACCCACTTACTTACTCACCATGACCACTATAGCCCACTTAGTTACTCACCATAACCACTATAGCACACTCACATAACCACTATAGCCCACTTACGTACTCACCATAACACACACTTACCTTAACCACTATAGCCCACTTACTTACTCACCATAACCACTATAGCCCACTTACTCACCATAACCACTATAGCACACTGACTCACCATAACCACTATAACCCACTTACTTACTCACCATGACCACTATAGCCCACTTAGTTACTCACCATAACCACTATAGCACATTGACTTACTCACCATAACCACTATAGCCCACTTACGTACTCACCATAACACACTTACCTTAACCACTATAGCCCACTTACTTACTCACCATAACCACTATAGCCCACTTACTCACCATAACCACTATAACCCACTTACTTACTAACCACTATAGCCCACTGACTTACTCACCATAATCACTATAGCCCACTGACTTACTCACCATAACCACTATAGCACACTGACTTACCATAACCACTACAACCCACTTACTTACTCACCATGACCACTATAGCCCACTTAGTTACTCACCATAACCACTATAGCACATTGACTTACTCACCATAACCACTATAGTCCACTTACGTACTCACCATAACACACTTACCTTAACCACTATAGCACACTTACTCACCATAACCACTATAGCCCACTTACTCACCATAACCACTATAGCACACTGACTTACCATAACCACTATAACCCACTTACTTACTCACCATAACCACTATAGCCCACTTACTCACCATCACCACTATAGCACACTGACTTACCATAACCACTATAACCCACTTACTTACTCACCATGACCACTATAGCCCACTTAGTTACTCACCATAACCACTATAGCACATTGACTTACTCACCATAACCACTATAGCCCACTTACGTACTCACCATAACACACTTACCTTAACCACTATAGCCCACTTACTTACCATAACCACTATAGCCCACTTACTCACCATAACCACTATAACCCACTTACTTACTCACCATAACCACTATAGCACATTGACTAACTCACCATAACCACTATAGCCCACTTACGTACTCACCATAACACACTTACCTTAACCACTATAACCCACTTACTTACTCACCATAACCACTATAGCACATTGACTTACTCACCATAACCACTATAGCCCACTTACATACTCACCATAACACACTTACCTTAACCATTATAGCCCACTTACTCACCATAACCACTATAGCACACTGACTTACCATAACCACTATAACCCACTTACTTACTCACCATGACCACTATAGCCCACTTACTCACCATAACCACTATAGCACATTGACTTACTCACCATAACCACTATAGCCCACTTACGTACTCACCATAACACACTTACCTTAACCACTATAGCCCACTTACTTACTCACCATAACCACTATAGCCCACTTACGTACTCACCATAACACACTTACCTTAACCACTATAGCACACTTACTCACCATAACCACTATAGCCCACTTACTCACCATAACCACTATAGCACACTGACTTACCATAACCACTATAACCCACTTACTTACTCACCATGACCACTATAGCCCACTTACTTACTCACCATAACCACCATAGCACATTGACTTACTCACCATAACCACTATAGCCCACTTACGTACTCACCATAAAACACTTACCTTAACCACTATAGCCCACTTACTTACACACCATAACCACTATAGCCTACATATTTACTCTAGGAGGGTGTCAAGGCACTCCAGGCACAATCCCAGAGTAAGTAGCCTTCTCAGTTACCAGAAGCTCCTGCAACGGCTTCCATTAGCTTCACTGAGCTAACCCCTACTGTGCATCAGCTTAGTGCTCTCAGCCAATGAGTGTGGCCGTCCATGAGAGAGCCAGATCACTCCTTGCCCTAACCCCAAATAAGAGGGTTACAATACAGTAGAACAAAATGCATGCATTTCGTGCAGTTAGTAAAGACAACAAAAGCCAAACTGTTATTGCAGTAATAAAACACTTGTTTTTGTTGGAATAACTTTTCCTTATCCTGCCCTCAAATACAACAAAAAATTTGAAAGAACTAAAGTTAAAGTGATCATGGTGCTTGGAGTAACCTTTAAATGATTTACTATTTTGGTGAAAAATAATTTATAATACTTTCAAGTCCAATGACATGATTGGATACTTATTATTAAACGGCAGGCCTGCTTACTTGAGGAGTCCCTCACTTACATTAGAAGTTGTAGGAGCGAAAAGTATTCTGTTAACTCATATATTTAGTCACTGTTCATTGTAAACACACATAGCGGCCTAGCAACAGGGAAACTGAACCATGCATCACTGTGGGAAAGAGAGGATTATTTTTCCCATTTTGCTTCATCTCTTCTCAGGGCTCAGCTTGAAATTGATGTAGGTGCAGGTCATAGCAATTACAATGATAGTCTTGCATATACTCTCAAATGTAAACAGGGTCAGTAGAACTAAGAATCCCCACCAATAAAATAACATTACAAGAACCAGATTCGAAATAGAATCAAAAGATATAGTAGACATAATGCCAAAAAAAAGCCCAAATTTCATTACTAAACTTGATAACGTAAGAATAGAAAAACAGGAGCTTGTTTACAGGTGCAGTGAACAACAAAGCCATTAGGAGCATTTAAAGCTGCCTCATTTCTCTAACAACTGGTCGTGAAATTATAAATGCAAAGAATCAATTGTCACGCTTAGTTAATATTTAAATATAATTTAATATTTTTTTAATCATAATATTAAATATTGAAATATATAGTTGCCATTAGAATTATGCAGTTTTCTAAACAAAATACGTATCATTGTGTTATTTTGCTGCCATTACAGAGCAATGTGCTACCAGTATCAAGAGGGCAAAAACTCCCTACTGCAAGCTTCTGGGTCCAGAGTTGATTCCTGTACTTATTACACATTTCTCTGGGATAATGTAAAAATAGAATTAAGCAGAATAAATTAAAACTATTTAATCATATTGGTTATATTCACTTGGCATCTCAGTAAATCATGGCAGACGTATTAAACAACGCTGCCATTTGCCAAACTCCAGGCAGAGAGATTGAGAAGGATAAAAAAAAAAAAAAATATATATATATATATATATAAAAAAAACATTTTTATGTCTCCAATAACAGAGTACAAAGAGACCAGTAAGGGACTTGTATGCGTGAGGTTTTACTTTATAAATGGATTGTGATGTCATTGCTGTGTACATGTAAAGATTATTATTTTTTTCAATTTTTTTTAAATCTTATCTGAAAAAATAAAAATAAACAGTTGCAAAATTGATGGTGTCATCTCTTTAGAATATTCTCACCTACTAAACTGCATAATTGTGCAATTACTTTTTCAAATCTTACTTTGCATCTTATGGCAAATGTATGTGTATATCCTTTCAGTAATGTGCAAAACTTACACCCATAATATTCCCCTAAAAGTGGAATCTTTGTTATCCCAAACATCTCCCACACCTTCAAGGAAGCAGGAAAAAAAAAAAAGTGTTGACATTTTCTAGAGCTCCTTAAAAGAATGCCTTCAATGGGCCATACAATGAAAGATATTTAATACTCCTTCAACAGATGAAGAAAACCTAACAGCGCAGAACGTTTTCAATAAATAATCAAACCACTTTATTCATTCACATCTAAAAAGAAGTAATTCAGCATATCACGTTACTGGACTCAAGAAACACCCCTCTCCAGCCTAACCGAATTCTCCAACCTATGAGTTTTGTCAGATAAGGACTTCTTCCTTGGCACAATCAGGCTTAAAAATACTCAAAAAATTATTTTAAAAAATCTGTTTCAATGCCTGTTTTTATATATTTCTCTGCTTCCTCCTCATTGGTTTAAACAATGGTGCTTCTTGTAACTGTGTCACAAGAAGCACTTAACAGAGTTTTCCTCACTTTTTTTTTTTTTTTTTAACATCTAGAGCACTTCAGCAAGTAGTGAAAATGTACAGATTGAAAAGAAAAATGGTAAAAGTATGCTGGGGTTCAGCGCTTAATTAAATTCTGGTATATTAATGATCGTGGCATGTGGAATGTTAATATTTGCTGATGACATCACTAGGGTTCTATAGCCAGCATGGATATATTTGTATTTTTAAGAAAAAAATATATATACCTAATAGGAAATAAAAGTGAAGACCCCATAAATCCCTGATGATTAAAGCTAACGTGAATCGTATATAGCAGTCTTTTAGCTTGCTACTCAGCAACATTTGAACCTTTAAATAAACCTGTAATTCCTTCATATTGCAAAAACACTTTGCATCACTGTGCAGAACATCTTATGATAATGTACATTATTTTTTATACACCCTAATGTTACTGTGCAAAATGCACAGAGCAAACTGTAGTCCTTCTCAGCTCTGAGATTGGCTCAAAACTGCAGAAATTTGTATTAAAAAACAAAAAACAAAACAACAACAACAAACAACACATAACTGTATGTCTAAGTCTGTCAATATAAAATCTTGTCCAAGTTTTGGATGCAGCGCCACAAATCTCACGAGTGGACTATGACTCTACTCAGAACTTAACATTGTTTAATCATCTGTATTTTACATTGACAAATAGTGGTTCATTTTAACTCTATAGCAGTGATGGAGAACCTTTATGAGCCAGAGTGCCCAAACCGCAAAACATGCCAACTTTTGTTTCCTCAAAGTACCAGCACGGCAATTAAACCTGCATACTGAGGTTTAAGTTTAGAAACAAAAGAATTCATACGGTTGTCCAAACTAATTCTCCTCTTCTCTCCCCCCAGCATCTTCCCTTCTCTACCCCCAGCATATCCCCCTCTCCCCCCAGCATCTCCTCTCCTCTCCCCCAGATTCTCATTATCCTCCTCCTCCTCTCCCTTACTATCCCCAGAATCTCCTCCTTTTCCACTCCCTTTCTTCCCCAGATTCTCCTCTTCCTCTCCCCCAAATTCTGCTCTTCCTCTCCTCTTCTCCCCCAGCATCTCCTCTTCCTCTCCCCCAGCATCTCCTCCTCCTCTCCCCCTCCCCCAGATTCTCCTCTTCCTCTCCCTCAGATTCTCCTCTTCCTCTCCCGTTCTCCCCCCAGCATCTCCTCCTCCTCTTCTCCCCCCGCATCTCCTCCTTCCTCTTCTCCCCCCGCAGCATCTCCTCCTCCTCTTCTCCCCCCGCAGCATCTCCTCCTCCTCTTCTCCCGCCACAGCATCTCCTCCTCCTCTCCCCCCGCAGCATCTTCTCCCCCAGCATCTCTTCCTCTTCTCTCCTCAGCATCTCCTCCTCCTCTTCTCCCCCAGCATCTCCTCCTCCTCTTCTCCCCCAGCATCTCCTCCTCTTCTTCCCCCAGCATCTCCTCCTCCTCTCCTCCCCCAGCATCCTCTCCTCTTTCTCTCCCCAGATTCTCCTCTTCTTTTCCCTCAGATTCTACTTTTCCTCTCCCCTCCAACCCCCAATATCATCTCCTCTTCTCTCCCCCAGCATCCTCTCCTCTTTTCTCCCCAGCATCCTCTCTCCTCTTTTCTCCCCGGCATCTCTCTTTTCTCCCCCAGCATCCTCTCTTCTTTTCTCCCCCCCAGCATCCTCTCTTCTTTCTCTCTGACATCTCCTCTTTTCTCTCCCCAGCATCCTCTCCTCTTTTCTCTCCCCAGCATCCTCTCCTCTTCTCCCCCCAGCATCCTCCTCTTTCTCTCCCCCAGCATCCTCTCCTCTTTTTCTCTCCTAGCATCCTCTCCTCTTTTCCTCTCCAGCATCCTCTTCTCTTCTCCCCCAGCACATCCTCTCCTCTTCCCCCCCAGCAACCTCTCCCACTTCCCCAGCAGCCTCCTCTTCTCCCCCCCCAGCATCCTCTCCTCTTCTCCCCCCCAGCATCCTCTCCTCTTCCCTAGATTCTCCTCTTCTCTCCCCAGATTCTACTCTTCCTCTCCCCTTCACCCCCCAGCATCTCCTCCTCTTCTACACCAGCATCTCCTCATCCTCTCCAGATTCTCCTCTTCCCCTCTCCAGATTCTCTTCTTCTCTCCCCAGATTCTCCTCTTCTTTTCCCCCAGATTCTACTTTTCCTCTCCTCTCCTCCCCCCAACATCTTCTCCTCCTTTTCTCTCTCCCAGCATCCTTTCCTCTTCTCTCCCCCGGCATCCTCCCCTCTTCTCTCCCCCGGCATCCTCTCCTCTTCTCTCCCCCGGCATCCTCTCCTCTTCTCTCCCCCGGCATCCTCTCCTCTTCTCTCCCCCAGCATCCTCTCCTCTTCTCTCCCCCAGCATACTCTCCTCTTCTCTCCCCCAGCATACTCTCCTCTTCTCTCCCCCAGCATCTTCTTCTCTTCACTCCCCCAGCATCTTCTCAGCACATAAATAATGTTTAATTTTTTTGGTGCGGGTTGGGGTTTCACCCAGGCTCCCTACCTGGTGGATCAGATTACTTCCCTCTGCTGTGAGGGGGTGCAGGCACGAGGGAGCACTGACTTACCTGCTGTTCCAGCACTGCTCCCTCTGCTGATGCTGCCGTGAAACAGCCCTCCATCCCACCCACCAGTGCCATCTTAACAACATTATGGGTCCCTGGGCAAAGCAAAGCTCTGCCTACACACAACTCACAAGAATAAAAAAAAAATATTAGATTAAATTAGGCTTATATTTATTAGTATCTCCACCAAATGCAATACATATATAAAATACATACACTCAGACTGCTGAACACATTCACACACCGACTGCTTTGTGGGGGGAGAGGTTCTGTGTGGGAGGGTGGTGCTTTGTGTAAGAGGAGTGCTGCATAAAATCTTTATCCCCCCTCTCTTCTTCTTACCTTTGGTCAGTGGCGTACACATGACCCATGGGGCCCCGGTGCAAAAATTGAAGTTGGTCTGGGTGCCAGGAAGTGGTCTGGGTGCCAGGTCCCTCTAGTTTTAACCCTGCAACTGAAAACATAGCAGTTTCAGAGAAACGGCTATGTTTCACTGAAGGTTAATCTAGCCTCTGGTGGCTGTCTCATTGACAGCTGCTAGAGGAGCTTCCGCGATTCTCACTGTGAAAATCACAGTGAGAAGACACTGAACGTCCATAGGAAAGCATTGAGTAATGCTTTCCTATGGGCGGTTTAAATGCGCGCGCGCCTCTTGCCGCGCATGTGCATTTGGAGCTGAGAGGCGGACACTGGGGAGTCCGACGCTGGAGAAAGGTAAATGCTGAAGACACACACACACACTCTCACGAACAGACGCATACACACTAGCTAACAGACACACACATTTACTGACAGAGACACACTCAGCGACAGACATACATACACACTCACTTACAAACATACACTTTCACTGACAAACACACACTCACTAACAGACATCAAACACACTCAGTAACAGACACACACAGTAACACACTCACTAGCAGACACACACCCAATAACAGACACATTCACTGACACACACACTAACACACGCACTAACACAAACAAACACTGACACACTAACACACACACTCTAACACACACACACACTAACACACACATACACACATACACTAACACACACATACACTAACACACTCTAACACACACATACACTAACACACACATTTTTTTTTTAAAATTTAATCCCCCCAGCCTCCTTACCTTTTGGAGTGCTGGGGGGATTCCCTGGGGTCCAGTGGTGCTCCTGGGCGGCAGGTCACTGGGTGGGCGGGCGGCAGGTCACTGGGTGGGCGGGCTGGCCGGCAGGCAGGCGCGCGAGGGAACACTCTCTGTGTGCTTCCTCTTCAGCTCCCTCGCGCGCCGCGTAGGGATGCCGGCGCCGGAAGATGACGTCATCTTCCGGCTCCGGCATCAGTGCGGTGAGCGAGGGAGCTGAAGAGTGAGGCACACAGAGAGTGCTCCCTCGCGCGCCTGCCTGCCCGACCGGCCACCTGCCCGGTGACAGCATGGCCAGCCTCGGGGGGGCCTGAGGTGGCCACCTCCTGGGCCCCCCCAGGAGAAGAGGCTGCCCTGTGGCTGCATACCGGGTCGCAGGGGCGGCCGGGCCCCCTGGTGGGCCGGGCCCGGTCGCAGCCGCGACCCCTGCGACCCTGGTATGTACGCCACTGCCTTTGGTGAAGGATGAGGGACAGCCAGCCCTGGCGGTCCGGTGGTGGTAAGTATGTAGGACAGGTTCTGGCTCCAGCTCTCCTGTCCTCCCACACGCAGAATGCTGTGTGGAGCATTGCCATGGTAACGCGCAGCAACGCTCCACACAGCCTGCTTGCAGGAGGACAGGAGAGCTGCTTCCCAGATCCCTCCCACTGCTTCCAGGTCCCCCTGCTT